GAGGTGCTGGAGAGAGGTGCTGGAGAGGTGCTGGAGAGGTGCTGGAGAGGTGCTGGAGAGGTGCTGGAGAGGTGCTGGAGAGGTGCTGGAGAGGTGCTGGAGAGGTGCTGGTGAGGTGATGGAGAGGTGCTGGAGAGGTGCTGGAGAGGTGATGGAGAGGTGATGGCGGTGTAGGAAAGGTGCTGGAGTGGTGATGTGGAGATGCCTAGGTGTTAGAGAGGTGCCTGGAGAGGTACTGGAGATCGTCTGAAACGGGCTGGAGGAGTGCCGGAGAGGTGCTGGAGGCGGCCCGCTGCGGTGGGGTGGTTGTTGGCTGTTGTGGGAGAGGTGTAGCGAGGCCGTTGGGCGCGTGGTGCGCTGGGGGGCGGACCAAGGTCACTCCCGGGGTGCGGCGCCGTGCGGCGGCTACTACCATGTGCCGTCAGAGTGTGACGTCACCGCTGGGCGCGCTCCTGGTCCTGGAGGAGGGGGAGACCGTGCTGCCCAAGGTACGCCCCCCCCCCCCCCCCTGCCTGACCGCGCCGGTGGCGCCCTTCACCCCGGGGCCGGCGCCCGCCCGCCGCGGGGGCTGTGGGCTTGACTTCACGATTTGCTCCGGATTTGAAATTCAAATGGAGGCCATTTCAAAATCCTGGGCTTCCGTCGCCTGGTCGGTCGCTGCTGCCTCGCCTGCCTCGCCTGCCTCGCCTCGCCCGCCGGTGACCACCGCAGACCACACGACGCGGGGCCCGGGTCCCACCCCTCCAGCTGCGCTAGGAACGGCCAGCCGGAGAGCAGCCCGACCGGGCCTAAGTTATATTCAGTTAAGAAAAGTCTACCGGGGGCGGCCCGCCCCGGGGAGGTGACGGGACGGAGCGTGGATCGCTGGGGTCTCCCGCCCCGGATCCACGCTACGCCAAGCCGCCAGACCCCAGTCTACTCCTACTCCCCGGGGCGGGCCGCCCCCGGTAGATTTTTCTTAACTGAATATAACACTAAGAGGTCGCCTGCGCAGATGCTGGAGCCCACTTCACACCTGTGTGTGTCTCGCGTGTCGTGCCGATTTTGCCTCCTGTGATGTGCGTCGCTGCTATATGGTATTTCAGAGCTGGACGTGAAAGAAGTAAAATGGAAGAACAAAACGCGCACTACTCATGCGCGGACGTGGAGTGGGGGAAGCAGAGGATGGATTAGGGGGCGTCTGCTCATTGCACGGTGTGTCTTTTGTTCTTGAATTTTACTTCTTCACGTCCAGCTCTGAAATGCCCTATTTCTCGGCAGCCTTTTTCGGACCGATCTCTAAAGGGCAAGAAACAAAAATCCAACTCTTTGCCTTGGTTGGTTTCGAATAAGTTTTCAATTCACGATATCTCCCCGTGCTGGGACACACGCACGCCAAGTGGCATTGCCTCCTCTTCCTCTTCATAGCGCCTGATAGATAGGAATCTAGCGCGTGCAAGGCGTGGCGTGGTGGGGAGTGCTCTTTGTACGGAAGTGTGGCGGCGCGAGGATTCCAAAGACAGTCACCATTCTAAAGACTACATCGACCCAGAATCGACCTCACGAGTTGTATGTCGCCATAAAATAATTTGTCGCGTTCCTTTCACTCGCGCATAAGCTCCTTGTGTGTCTCGGAAAGGCCAAGACCACCGTAGCGGACTTGACTGACTGGCCGATTGTGTTACCGACTGCTTCGCATTCCCCTAGTCGGCCCTAGAGCACACTAGCACAGTCTCCTCCTACCTAGCGGACACTATGGACGTCCTGGCCGTGGTGCCGCTGCTGGTGCTGGTGTGCGCCGGGGCGCCGGGGGTGCTCTCGGCCTTGGCCGTCGCGGACCTGCCCGTCCACGCCCCCGAGGCCACGAGCGCCCTGGCCCTGCTGTCACCCTACGTTCGCTCCCAGAGGGCCAGCCTGATCATCATCGGCCAGGTGAACTGGACCGGCGCTTTCCTCCGGGGCCTAGGCTCGGAGACCACTTGGGTGGTGCTGCAAGGTGAGGAGGATGAGGCGGTGTTTCGAAAACGGTTTGACGACGATGTGATGGAGACCAACATAGTGGCGATGGTTGTGGCGGACAATCCCAAGGACCCGGCCTCGTGGCTGCAGAAGGATCACCCGGGGTACGCGCGTTTACTCTACTGGCTGACGGTGGGGCCAGGCATGGAAGAGGCCATCCCAAAGATCCCGCACTTCTCGATCCCGATGTGCACTCGGCCCGTCGGGATGGCGGTCACCGCGCCGAACGGCAGCACCACCCTGTACTCTGTAGCTCAACAGGATTGTGGCAAAAACGCTCCGACACTTTTAAAGGTTGACCAGTGGTCCACGTCGCGCCAGAGCTGGCAGCAAACGGACGCTATATTCGCACTTTTTAAGCCTTTCTGCAGCGAGTGGCAATCACCGCCGGCGAACAACTCAGTAATCGTATTTAAGCTATCAACAGATGGAGAAGAATCACCTTTTTCCAGACTTTTTGATATTTTTGTGAGGAACGATCGAAGCTTGCCGCGGAATTTAAACTTATCTTCATACGCCAGCTTCAATTCTAATAGTTTCAGTTTTGAAACAATGAATTTCGAGGTAGGGAGGGCGAGAGAACAGTGCCGCCTGAGTGTAGCATACATAGAAGATGGCGTTGTGGGACGATTCGACTCCAGGACCGTGAGCATAATGACGGAAAGGAAGATGTATCCAGTCACCGTCTACGTCCCCGCCGGCCTCGGCCCCGCGGTCAACCCCCTGGGCGCCGTCCTGGTGGAGTTCTCGCCGGCGGTGTGGCTGGGCACGGCGCTGGCCACGCTGAGCACCGCGGCCGCCCTGGCCTGCACCCTGCGCCGGGACCGCGGCGCGGCGCTGCTGCTGGCCCTGGCGCCCCTGCTGGGCCAGGCCCCGGGGACGCCCCCGCCCGCGGGCCGCGCGCTGCGGCCGCTGCTCGGGGTGTGGCTGCTCGTGTGCGTCGTGCTGGTGGCCGCCTACCAGGGGCTGCTGCTGGGCGAGCTGTCCACGGAGCGTCCGCGAGGGGAGATCAACAGCCTGCGCGACCTGGAGGCCAGCGGGCTGCCCGTCTACTTAACGTGGAATGTTGTTGGGCTGGGAGACAACATTTGGGATTCCTTTCCCGAAAGTCTTCGCAGGAACAAGCACAGTGCACTAATGGATAAGAAGACACTGCGGCTCGTGGCGCGGCACCGGAACTGCGCCGTGATCACGTTGCAGGATCGGCTCGTCCAACGCCTCGTGCATTCACTGACCAAACCCCCGCACAGAAAGCTACACTCGTTCACCATCGGATCGGAAACTCTCAAGATCGTCGCCTTTTGGTCCCGAGGGTCACCGTTGGGCGAGAGAATGGCCCTTGCCTACTCTCGCCTTGACGAAGCTGGGATACTGGACCACTGGGAGGACGATCTGGACGAGGGCTACCGCGTGCTGTCCGCGAGGCACCTGTCGGCCCTGAAGCGGGCACTGCCGCTGAGCTTGCAGAACATGGCCCCCGCTTTCTACGTGCTCCTCAACGGGATCGTCCTGGCCAGCGTCGTTTTCGTGGTGGAGCTGGTGACTGCCAAGTGGGGTAGAGCTGGGCAGAGCCCCTGAGAACGTGCCCGCTCCGTTGTACAACTATCGTATCGTCTGCTTTCAAGTCCGATTCATGATCAATAACATCTTTTTAAAGGAGAGGGATTTGAAAATTCACCGCAGGTTTAGAGTGCTTGTAGAGCTCACCAGCTCACTGCAGCCTACAGTGAAATGATACAGGAAATAAAGTGGGGGGGGGCACGTTTTCTCCTTCTGGGACTCGTCGTGGTAGATACAGTCGGGGGGACGGTCTAAAAATGGTATTAACAAAAAGAAATGGAGGGAACTGTAGGACAGAGACCGCGCTAGATAGAGGAGAACGTTGGAGAGGGGCGACTGTGGGTGACTGCAGCAATGCAGGCCTAGAGGTAAAATTAGCAAACCGACTAATGGAATCCCCACACTCTCCCTCCCTCCTCCCCCCCCCCTTCTCCCTGTCTCTCTCGCTCCGTCTCGCGGGCCCTCTGCGTGGATCGTTCGATAAAGTACCATATAGTTGTGAGTGTATGCAGTGAGTGCGGGAGCGAGCGACGGTGGTGTTGGGTGCAGTGATGCATGGCTGGTGTATTTTTAGCGGCTGTTTCGGAACGTCCTGCACGCTCTTGGGCTTCTGTGCAAAAGGTGGTTATTTCTTTCCTTCTCCCTTGCTTTCGGGTATATTGGCGTTGAGAGGGGGGTTGCGCGTGGGTGGGTTCGAGAGAGAGAGAGACAGAGACAGAGAGAGGGGACGAGAGAGAGGGAGAGAGAGAGAAGCGAGGAGACTTGTGGTCTAACAAGGGTAAGGGTGAAAGGGGCAACCAGTAAACCGGCTCTATCTTGTTCCAAGGCGGCGCGCCCCCACACGCCCCCTACCCCCTACCTACACCCCCACCCTCTACCCCCCTACCCCCCTCTTTCCCAACCCAAGCCCCTTCATCACCTCCGTAGCCAGGTGGGCGAGGCGTTTTACTTATATCCGCATCCCCATACTCTCACATGAAACACGCTGCTTTTGTCTGAATACAGGCATAAGAGAGACGACGTAGTCGTGTGTTAGTGCTGCTTTACGGAAGTGATGATGCTACAAACACAGCGATACTACGTTTCGTTTCGTCGACCGCGACGGGAGACTTGAGCGGCGGAGCAGGACATCTGGACGGGAGGGAAGAGAAACGGGGAGCAGAGTAGGGGAGGGGGGAATGGGGGAGGTGAGGGAAAGAGTGAGCCGAGAGCAAATCGTCGAGTCAAAACCCATCCGAATCAAAAACGGAATGAAAATGATAATAAATAGCAACAGTAATAGCTGCGCTGGGGGTGTAGTGGACGGGTGGCGTGACCGGGTTGCTATGCCCCTACCTCGCTCACCTCCCCGGGCGGCGGGGGGCCCCGGAGCGCCCATTGGCCAAGACGTGGCCGGTGCGGGGCGGGGCGCGCGGAGGTGGCAGGGTGGTGCAGCAGGCGAGGAGCGCCAGTCTTTGGCTGGACGCGACCCTTGGCAGCAGCTCTCAGCAGCCGCAGCGCCGCTGCCAGAGGCCGCCGCAGGTCTCGCTCCAGTCACCACCAACCCCCAAGGCCCCCGCCGCCCCCGAGGCCGCCGCCGAGGCCGCCACCGCCCCCTCCCCGCCATGCACCGGACGGCCGTCCTCGTCGTCTCCGCCGTGGTCGTGGCCACCCTGGCGCTGCACACCGAGGCCCTCACCGCCTTCGGCAAGTCCAACGCCCCGGACAAGGACGCCAAGCCCATACGTGAGTACAACTCACCTCTGTGTCATTTCCCCCACTTTTTCTTTTCTCTTTTGTACGAAAATGTCTTGCACGGATTTTGTTCGAATTTTCTGGCGGTTTTTAATATCTGAAAATGATAATTTCTGTGTACATTGCACGCTGGGGATTTCTGTTTTGTCCTCGTGCATGTTGCATCTTGGTGAGGGAGTGGCCGCAAATCTCCTCATTTTCAACTTTCCCTCTTCTCAGTCCACACCCCGAGACCCCTGCCTGGCTTTAAACTCCCACTGGTGCACGAGGCACGGGTGAGAAGAGACCACAAAATAAGAGACAGTTTTCTTAAGCCGTAAAAAAATTAATTTCTCAATTTTTAACTTAAAAAAAAAAAACAACTTCCGAAATGTTTTCTCCATAAAATAATCCGTTCAGATTAAAAAAAAAAACAAACTTCCGTAACGTTTTCTTCACAAAATAATCCGCAACTAAACCTGTCATAATCACAAACTATAAAAATGCAAGCTTTCCACGTAAAATATATGTTACACTAGAGTTCGCCGGATCTATAAACGAGTGTCGGTCGGTGAATACGCAGTAAATACAAAAACGGTAGAGTAGGGATCGTATAGGTATGTTTATAAACCGACAAGAGTCGTAAGCGGACTGATGCCTCTGTTCGTGGCACCCGCAGGCCGGAGGCATACGCCGGAGGCAAGCCTTGTTGGCGTGACCGGGAGAGCGCCGGAGCCCCGCGGGACACACACGGAGGACTGACATGCTGACAACCGATTCCCTTTGCGAAAGGATTTCCATCCTCCCACCCCACACCCTTCCAACCCCCCCCCCCCCCCCCCCCCCCCGCCGCCCCCCTCCACGTCAGGGTGAAAGAAAGTCACACCACACATACCAGGGGGGGGCCCCGGGCCTCCTTCAAGCGGCGAGGGTGCGCAGCTTGGCGGCATTCCCTTTAGGAGCAAAAGAGTAAAATAAACAAAGTATCGAATCATTGTCATACGTCAGAGCCTCAAAAACCCCCACACGTCTGCCAAATCCCCCCCCCCAATCGCAATTTTTCGTCGCTAAAAATAAAATAAAATGAAAATATTGTTTTGAAACCAAACGGGGTACACCCCAACTAAACTGTGCCGTGCACCCGAGTCCTTCGAGCGTACACACGCGCTCCGGTGACCCACTCGTCCATTTCTCCATTTCCACCCCGTATGTTTGTTTTTGTTCCTTTTTACGAGACACGTATGTGTGTGTGTGTGTGTGTGTGTGTGTGTGCTGCAGGGCATGGTAATGGCATTGCATGACTGATAAGACCCTCCCCCCCCTCCTCCACTTCACGCGTAACAGTCTCGCCCCGGCGGTGAATGTCTTGTGGCACGTGCTGCTGCCTCCACTGTCAAAAATAGCGGGAATTTGTAATCGTAAAAATACATTCAGTACGTAGCGACACCCAGAAAAATCGTTTCTTGATTCAAAGTGCACGCTGACACAAGAGGAAATTCACCATTGAAACAAGGCAATATTGTCTTTGGGATAAGATTTTTTTTTCTCTTATTCTAAAGAAAATATCAGCTTGTTTCGAGAGTAGACCTGAATTTGATCTTGTGTCAGCGTGCACTTGAAACGAGGAAAAATTTACCAGAAACGAAAAACGATTTTTCTGGGTGGACTTAAAATCCATTGGCGAGTAAAAAAATGTGCTCTCTTAAATATAAAACTTAAATTATAATTCGAGTTTACAATTTTTTTGTAAATTTACGACGATATTTTTCACAGTGTCGAACCTCGTCATGAGTAGCGCGTCGACCCGGATCACTATAGTATAACACACTGCAACGACAACAAAACGCCAACAGCGTATGACAGTACGCTGAAACGCAAATGCGTGAATGTCACACACTTGTAGGTGTGTGATGCCCATAATTTGTACCCTTGATCGAGTATAAAGGTGTGAATTTTCCACACTTGTGCCTCGTGTGCGAATGGCGTGCACACACCTCTACAAGTGCGTTTGACATTCACTCACTTTTGGGTCTACGGCGTAAGCACAAAGAGTATAAGCAGGCACACGGATTGGGAGCGTGAATGTCAAAGAACTGCATGCACAGTTGTGATGGGCATGGTGGTGGTGGGGCTCCACTAATCCCACTCGCGCACATGAGCACGGCCGCACCCGTCGTACCCCTCGGCATGGCATGACTATACAATCGCGTAGAAAGTTTACATCTAAATCACAAAAAAATTAAAAGAAAGAAAAAAGAAAATTGGAGCACCGCGACCAAAAACGAAACTGTTATTGGTTCACAGCCAAGGTGCCCAAGGGTCGGCCGTGCAGCAGTAACTCCGACTGCGCGGGGACGGGCACGTCGTGCCAGCTGATGCCCGCGGACGGCAAGAAGCACTGCCTGTGCAAGGACGGCACCCCGCCCATCAACGCCAAGTGCGCAGTCGTTCCCGTCGGTACGTCTGCCTGCTACCAACATTATAATTGAGTGCCGATAGTCCACTGTTTCCGTACTACTGTTTTTGCATCCGAACGGGCGTGTTAGAGCGAAACAAAAAGGTCGAGACAGGGAGTGAGACTGAACAAAAACCAAGCGCCCTCTGTGCCTGTGCAGGAGATGCCAAGTAGGGGGAACGGGGCGCTTTGCCCTCCTCCGGTAGAGACTCTGTCTTGGGGACTGTCTAAAAATTACACGCAAGTTCTTACCCATAAAGCTTGGATATCAAAGTTTTCATCGTTGAAGTAGCCCACCAAAATTTGTGATCCAAGCAAATGGACTGAGATTCAAATGTTTGTGATTATACAGAAAAAGTCAGCGGATAGTTTTATGGAGATTGCCTTTTTTCGAGTGTCGCCTCAAAAAGTATACGTTTCTAAACACAATTTTTTTGAGAGGTTTTCAGCGGGGTGGGCGTAAACGGGGGTCAGAGGGTCACGTGGGGGGGGGGGTTTACTTGGGCAGCTTAATTTACCATTACCTGCAAATCCCGAAGCCGAATCTCCGGACCATAGGCCGGTTTGTGTCCGAAAAGGACAGGGTAGGAGTGAGAGGGAGGCGATGTTCGGTTCGAGCATCTCCTGTCGGGGTGGAGGCCCTGGAAGCCATACTGCCCTGGCACAGGCAGCCTTTTGCCCTGCCCCGCTCCCCGGGCCCGGGCGGAGCCGGAGCGCCCGCAGAGCCCCGGGTAGGCCTCCCGCCGCACGGCGGTGGCGCGACACGAGCAGATTGCCTACCCGGCGGGCGCCCGGCCCGACCGACGCCCGCCCGACCTCCTGAGCGCCGCGGTCGCCAAGCGCCGCCCCTCCCCACCCCCTTCTACCTTTCCTCTCGTAATTTTTCACGCGATGGTTCCGTCCGCCCTCCGCGCCCCACAAACTATGTAGGGTCAGTCGGGGCAAGTTGGACGAGCGACGAGCGAATCGAAACGGTCGTAAAAGGATCGTGCTCAAATGACCTTTTATATTTTTTTCAGCGGTTGGGGTCATTTTTTCTCTCTGAAACTTGGAGGATGTGTTCATACGTTCCTTGCGGGTGTGGATCATGGGGATGAGGATTAGTAAAACCAAAACAAAGCGTGACCACGACACCCCGCAAGGAACGTGTTTAACATGGAAAGCGGCTGTTTTCCCCTAACTTAGAGTTTCGTTCTCTTCCTGTTCAGCGCCGGGCAAGGGCTGCAAGGAGCACTCGGACTGCGTCCAGAACGCCGAGTGCACCGTCGCCAACACCACCACCAACAACGCCAAGACGTGCAACTGCAAAGACGGCTTCGACGTCTTCCAGGACCTCGGCGAGACGCTGTGCAGCGGGTGCCGCGGGTTGGGCGTGCCGTGCCTCGCGCTGCTCGCGGCCCTGCTGGTCGTCGCGCTGGCGCAGCCGCGCCCCGCCCCGTGATACAGACATCCCTCCCATCCCTGAGCTATAGGATTATTTTTATTTAATTTTGGTCGTTTTAGTCCCCCTGAAAAGCCATTGTATAAACCCTGTTTTACGGGCGACAGTCGTGAAAGCCGAGTCGTCGGGACTCGCCATGGGCACAACTCCGGCAGCTTGACAGCTCCCTCCCTTTCTCCTCCCGTTCTCAATTATTTTCGAACAAAACGGCGTCCAAGTGGGTAGCCTGGACGTTGCTTTCTTTCTTTTCTATGCTCAAAGTTAATTTACCTGAAACCTCGTAGTACGATAAATAGTAATGCTGTTATGCGTAATCAGAACCCTGCCTATTCCTTCTCAAATGGCGATGTAAATTGGAAACTGTTAAGTCGAAAGCTTTTTTTGTTTTTGTTTCTATATAGGTCTTGCCTCATAAGCACCTTTCTTCTATGATGATGAGTAATCAAACCCAAAATTTCAGACAGTTCGAAGAAGTCAGAAGAAATGCTGAAAAAATAGGTAGATACATTAGCAGGTATTCTAGGCACCTTCCCTAGCAAGGAATTTAATGCCAAAGTAAAGCCAGCTGTGTTTTTATACCCTCCAGAAAAGTGATTTTAGAAACTAAGCTTGTGATCATAACAATTCCTGAATTTCCTGCTTCAAAAATAACACATTACATTGGTGCTTGCAAGTAAGAATTTTATTTCAAACTGTTTCTCTCTCTTTTGTTTTGTAGTTTAAGAAGCAATAAAACACAATTTAGCACACTTTAGTTATTTGTTCCATTAAAGATCATAAGAACAATAAAAAAATATCAATTTTATTACATTGATTTCTCTGTTTGTATGTAAATATTCAAGATTGTTGAGTTTTAAAGTAAGTACAATGTTATCGTAAAGAATTTTAATAAAGTGAATACAAAATAGAATACGTTTACCTCAGTATAAAATTATTAACTCGTTTTTTTCCTAAAGACTAAAGATGTTACTGTACTACCTGTCTTACCCCCAAACTGGAACTTTGGAGTTGGAAGGACACGGAACAACTTAAAATCTGTTTTCAGAAAAATAACTCTGATGAAAAGTTGAAATAGTTTGAGAAGAAAACAAGACTAATAAACAATAATTACTCACACTTTTGAAAATGCAATTCAAGTTCCACTTGAGTCCAGTTACAGGAAGTTAAGATGAAGGAACCCTGTGCTTCCAAAAGATTGTGGACTGCTTCAATATAAATGTTTCGTTTTTCAGGAGCATTTTCAGGGCTGAGACTAATGGCATCATAAGTTCCTTTATCTAAAACAACTTTAAACTGTCTTCCATTGAGAGGTTTAGCTGCATCATCCAGAATATCACACGTCTGAAAATCAAAAACATTACGCAGACTAACATTAAAATATCAATTTAGTTCGATCCACAATTAGAAGTTAAAACCGAAATTCTACCTCAAACTTGATGTCTAAATTTTGTGCTGTTGCTACTTTCTTAGCCAATTTCACAGCAGCCTCGGAGTAGTCAACCCCTAGAAGATTTTCAAATCCCTCTTCTGCCTGAATAATAATATTTAAAAAAAAAACAGAAGTAAAAACATTTATTTAAAAACATTGAATTTACTGACACCTGTTGTTACTGCTACACGCTTATGAAATAATCATTAGCTTGCGCCACAACAAACACCTACTAGCTCAATCAGCAGCATTCCGTTGCCACATCCTAGATCAACAATGCTGTCAGTACTGGATATGATGTCATTCGAGGACATCCACCTGGAGAAAAGGAGGGAAGAAGTGGCAAATCGACAATGCTTCAATGCAATTCAAAGCAAATGAGCAGTGAGGCAGAAGCATCACACAACTTGCCTAACGATGCGAGTGGCGCTGTCTTCTCCGAACCAAATCTCTCCAACATCACCGTGATCATCGAAATTGTTTAATTCCAATTCATACGAAGAATCCCAGCTGGAAACGAGAGCAACGGAGTTGTTAAACATAACCAAAGCTGCACAAGGTGCATGGAATCTTGGATAAGATCTAACAAGAATTAATGGTAATCACAATTCTTTAGTCCCAAGCTCCGACGTTGGCAACTCAGAGGGTTCTTCATTGCTGGCCATGATTAAAAATCAGGGTTTAAACAATAAAAATTTCTTATAAACAGCGTGTTGATGTTGATACACGAAAAAGCAGACAGCAGGCCGGGGACAGGCACGCGTATAGTGAGACCCACCACTATTTGCAGACCAACTTCAGCAGACGAAATATAGTCTACATTTCAATCGCTAGGATCGCTGCTGACGGCGGAGAAACGACGCTTGGCGTCATAAATTTTCTTTCGTGTTTCGCAACTCACCTCTGTTTTATGTTTTTTCACAAAGTTAAATGAGATATGTGCTGATCAGCATGGCAGCGTTTACTCGCCGGCAAAAGCTTTCGACGAACTCGTTTGTTTTGCGTTTCCACTCACTCTCCTGTCGAGAGTAGTGCGCCTGGAAGTAAGTAAACGTATAGGTTAGGTTTGTTTTGACTGGTTTTTATGGTGGTCTTGTTACATACCTACTGCTGCTCTGGTGACATCGAGTGTCCACCCTTGTGTCTGCTGTCAAGGTTCTCGTTGTGGTGCCTCGAGCCAGTTTCTGCCTCAATCTGAGTGTTGGACTGGATATTTTTCACATTTACACACAAAACCTTGCTGGGGCCCGGCCTTGGGCGCTGGCCCGGGCCCTCTACAGGGGGTGGTAGACCTCACTCTGAATATGTCTGAAAATATTAGCGGACCTCAGATTGAGACGCTAACGCTGGACAATGGAGTCGTTACAGACGGGGCTGTGGCCAACCGTATTTGTTCAGGTACGGTTCCATGCGCCTCTGTAGAAGCTTAGAATATTTATATGTCACTCAGTTGCACTGCTTGTAACGTACTGTCTGCAATATGTTTTCTTTTTCATTTTTCTTACAAAAATTGATTTTTTTTTCTTTATACGAGCTTAAATAGCTGTCAAAAGATTTGTCCATTATCAGTCTGTCACCTCGCATGAAAGTAATTAATTTTGCTTTTCATATAGAGCATCTAAAGTTAATTTGAGGTGATCAACTTATTCATCTTTGATTGAGGCACTTGGCAAGCTTTGTTGCATTGTATTTTTAAAAAATCTCTTTGTATCACAACCAAAATTTTACACCTTGGACCACAGCGATTTTTAAAATTGTATAATTTTTCTGTTTATCTTTGAAAGTATTATAGTTACTATGCTCAAAATTATTATCAAGTTCTCTAAATGGCCATATGCAGAAATGTCTATATTTTATTGATGGCCACATGTAGACAGGTTACCTTTAGATGGTTTTATAGATATCTAGATGTTTAATTTAAAGTTATCTAGGCTATGTCAACAGCACCCTCCGCTTGCTTTTTTGGCTTATTGCTCACTGTTATGTCAAGCTCAAGTAAGCGTTCAACCTTGCTCATTGTCAGTGGACACTGTGCAGGGTCTTGTATATTACGATAATGGTCTCACTAAATCACATTCCTGGAATATTTTTCTTCTTCAACAACTCGATATTTAGGAAGCATGTGCTGTATGGATAAAGCTTAACATATTGTCATGAATGTGAAGGAACAAAACTGCAAGTTCAAGTTAATCATCTGACCCAAGTCTCTAACGCTTTTGGAAAGTCAAAGAAATATGCACAGTTTATTTCTGAAATTTCTAGTTTGGCAAAGCAGAAGATTGTTCTAGATACGCACTTTTTAATCATACAACCCACTTATATTGTGCATGCAATTTTTTAAAATGTTGCCTTTAGGATTTCATTATTTGAGACATCCATTTTACTCATGGCTATACTTGTCACTTTTTGTAAAGTAATTTGTAATTTTTCTCGCTATCTTTTGTTTCTTTTTGTAATGCTGTTTCTTTTCTCGATTTCAGTTCTTAATACCCTTGTTCACGAGATGTCCAATATGAAAGGCAAAGACAGCCTCATGAAGATGCTGCTGGCTGCAGGACCAGCAAGCATCACAATATCTTCGGGACCCACTTCTCAAAATGTACATTTTAATGCCTCTGGTAGTACCAGCACATCATCCTCTTCCACCCTAACTAGTCCAATGAGTGATCAGGTTGACGATCATGCTACATATCGTAGTAGTAGCTATCTAAAACAACTTACAAGCCACAACGTAAGTGTATACAATGTAACTGTCTTCACTTGGTTGTCTTTTGGACCTCAATATTCTAACCACAACTTCTTTCTAGGACCAGGAGGTAACTCTTGTTGAGATGGACCATCCATATGCTCATCCATGGAATTGGCGTCCTGATAATGTCAAGGCTAAACCTGTGAGATCCCTCTTTGTATATCACCCACCTCGAAGAACCCAAGAGTGAGTTGTTGCACCATTTTTCAATTTACCTTTCTATTTTTTTCTCTTTAAGATAGTGATGTTTCATTTCTTCAAAATTTTGCAGTGAGGTAGAAGTTAATGTAGTTAGACCACCAATCCAACCACAACCAGTTTATGATCCTGTAAAAGCTAGATACTGTATGGATGAATGTGAGCGGTTTGTAGCCAGTACCCGGTTAGGTGATGACAAGGATGGAGAAGCAGATTGGGAAGAAAAAGTAGCAAGGTACATTATTTTCCTTCTTTCTCAAATTAAAGATGAATCCTAATGGTTATTTCATTTTAAATTATGATATTTGAATGCAGGTTTGGATGGAGTTCCATACAAAATCGATTATTCAACAAAATGGCTCGCATTCTCCATGCAGACCAGCTATCTCACATGGCTAACACTGGTCACTGGAATGAGCCTGTTTTGAGAAGAATAGCTGTTGACAAATCATCTCGAAGGATTCGGTCCCTTTTTGCCTCAATTTCGTGGGATTTAAAACTGACCCAGTGGCTTCATGTGACTCTTGTAGATTCTCTCAGCTCAAGATATTTATGTGCTTATCTAAATATATTACAGGTGTGTACAATATTAGTTAATCCTAGAGTAACACTCAAGCAGATGACAGTTTTTTTTTTCTAATTGTTTTATACCTCTTCCTGTGCAGAACCTAAAGAATAAAGTTCCTACTTTAGTTGATAAAATGATGGCAATTTCCACCCCACTGGGTAGGACAGGACCATCTTCAAATGAAGGAATCAATCATCTCCTGAAGCGGATTTGGGACCCAGCAACGACAGGCCTCTCAAGGCATAGGCTGGTAATATATTTGTCTTTGAAAGATCAAAACCAGCTTTTGTATATTTTTTTTATAGTTCTATTTGGTTCTATTAATTTTTGTTTGATTTTCAGCGGAAACTTCCGGCAAACCCTATTATTGTTATTGTGCCCTCTGGTCCTGGCAAAGCATACAAACAGTCGTCTCGTTCCACATACTGGACCACACATCTGTCTGCTTTGGGCACTGTTGTTACAGTCTATACTGGTGTGTGATTGAATCATTAATAAAAAATGTATTTACCCCACATAGATACAGCATTTTGCCTGTTTTTCTAATTTTTTGTTTGTCTTTTAGGGCAAATAAATGGTAAAAGTACACTATCTAGTTGTTTGGATCAACTCTTGACAACCACTCGCACCAAAATATCAGAACTGAAAGCAGACTGCCCAGGACGGCCTATCATACTTGTTGGTTGGAACTCAGGTGCAGCATTGGCGTGTCAGGTAATTTATTAGACCTAACTGATGTCTATGATTTGATTGTGTGTTGCAACTGGAACTGTTGCAATATTTTGAATCAATTGTTTCATTGTAAAAAATCTTTTTAACTATTACAGATTTCGATGATGGATTCTGTAACAGCTGTGGTATGCCTCGGCTTTCCTTTGTGCACAGTGGAGGGAATAAGAGGAGAACCGGATGACAATATTTATTCAATGCGCTGTCCTACTCTTTTTGTAATAGGCCAGAACTCAGCTACATCTACGTTAGTGACTTTCACCTGGCTTTTTTGTTATAATTTGAGCTCATGAACTGGTTTTGATTGGGCTCATTTAGATTCAGCATTTACAATGGTTGTACAAATGCATTTTCAGGGTTGAAGGGCTTGAGGACCTGCGAACCCGTATGGCGGTTGACACTGGCCTAGTAGTTGTTGGGTCTGCAGATGATCAACTACGGATGACAAAAACAAAGAAGAGAATGGAGGGCATTACTCAAAATATGGTTGATCGTTGTATTCTTGTAAGTTTCATGTGAAACTTGGCAACACTAACTCTTCAATTGTGGGTCATAGAAACTGTAATTTTTTAGTTTGAAATACTGTTGTTGCAGGATGAAGTAAGTGATTTCTTAGGACCAATATTGGCCCAAGCCAGCTCCAGACAAGCTCAGTACTTTGCCAATAATAATGCTCTGAGTGAAAGTACAAACACAAACATTTTACCTACTCCTGTACCAACTAGACCTGGGCCTGGCCGTCCGCCAGGCAGTGGTAAGGGTGAACGCAAAAGGAAGGCATCTGTTGGCAGTTCGCTGGACAGCCAACCAGCATCTCCAGCTACAAAACGGGCTAAACCAGGTAACCATTTACCTTCTTGAACCCTATTTATTTTGCCTTTGTTTTATCTATCAGTTGTGTACAATTTTTTATTTTCTCCCCTGGATATGCATGCATTTGTTGTTGTTGTTGTTGTTGTTGTTGTGTGTATGTAGAACGTAGTCAGTTTTGAGCAGGTGTTTGGGTTGAATTTTCTTCACTGCAATATTTTTTGTAGAGATCTCTTTTGATTTGGTTGCACCTAGTGTGTAAGGCACTGTTGAATTTCTTGGAACATTATGAATTCTTTCAACATTTTTGCAGGCATGCCTTTCAGTATGTGTGGGCCTAGTAGTTCTGCTCCTGCAAAGCCCTCTCTTCCAACTATGCCAACCCTTGTTTCATATTCTGACCAAGGTATGGCCCTGCTTCATATTTAAATTTAAGAAAGTGTCAAATCTGTTTTTTTCTTTTGAGAAGTACCTAGTGTGTTGTGAAGCATGCTTTTTTTTTTTTTTTTTTTTTTTAACCTTCATCTGCGTATTCAGGGTAATATCTCCAAATCTCCACCTTTTCTAAAATCTAAGTTGTGATGTAAGATTTGGTTAGCTGTGTATCTTTTTTTCATATTATCAGTAAAATTTCTGTGCAAGCTTATATATTTTTAAAAGTTTTGCTTCTCATTAATCTTTATTCTTTTACAACGAATTTGTAATGAATAACTTGCCCAGAGTGGCGGAGTGCAGCACAAAGAAGCAGCACTGGTGGTTAGGCAAACCAAAACAAAGTATGAGGAGACAAAATATAACGGAATTAATGATTGAAATTGACTTGGCAAGTATGAAAACATGTGTTTTGAATGTTTACTTGATCAAATACTTGCTGTATGTCAGGAGAACAGAGAAACTTGCACGCCATCTGCTTTGTTTTGGTTCCTCCCAGCTATGCTCCGCCACTCTGGGCAAGTCGCCCATTGAACTTTTCAATACCTGCATATTCCTCTGACCACCTTTCCCCAACTGGCTAATTATATTTTTTTAATTTTTAAAATTTTATTTTACAGGACGAAGAAAAGGATCATTGACATCACAGCCTAAAATGGTAATAAGTTCTGTTAATTTTACGCCAGCCAGTGATAGTAAATGGCAACCCAATCTAGCTTCCGGACGCAATGTGACGGCAGGCCTCTCCCAGGTGGGCATGGCACACATACACACAAATTAAAGTGGTATCAAAACTAGATGGTCCTTACAACTCGCTTCTGCTTGCAGACAACCACTTCAAACACTTTTACCCTGAGTCTTGGCAACATTGCAAGTCTAGGAAATATTGGTCCAATCAGATTAGGACCTGCCTCAGCTCTTGCAGATGCTTTGTCCACTGCAAAGAAAGTGACAGCAAAAGCTAAACAAGAAAAAGCAAACTCTGTTGAATCTCCTGTTGCCCAATCTGTTAGTTCCTCCCCAACAGGTATGTGTGTTGAAGCTGAAGTCTGCAGTCTGAAAAGCTAGGACACTGGTTTACCACTGCATTTTGTTTTGTGTGTGTTTTTAGTGCTACAAGTACAGCCCGCCAAACTGGTGGCAAATAGATCCGTTTCACAGGCTGGTATGTCGCAATTAACAACATTGCTTCAAACTAGTGGGAATACCACAAGACTTGTTGCTACCCCTGTTACTTCAAGTATGATCACTACTGCGGCTAGTGACAGTGCTACCACCACAAGTACCACGTCAGGCATTATTTATGCCCCTGTCATGAACACTCAAATGCAACCTCAGCAACAGATAAAGCAGTTTCAAAGCCTTCCATCTATCCGACCTCAGCTCCTTCATACTCAGCAACAGCAATTGAAAGTATCTCAAGCTCAAGCACAGGGAGTGGTCAGAGGTAAGGGGCAGGCAAGATTTTTAGTTATAAAAAGTAACAAGCGTAAATGCAATTAGTGTTTCCTTTTTGTTTGGCGCATGACCCTTTTGCATTATGTTATTGAAAACTTTAACATTTTCCAAAGTTGTTTCCAATTACTTTCCATGTTTTCAATGAATTGATTTTCATTGTATTTGTTTTTTAATTATTCAAAACCTCCTAAGTACATGATTTTTGATGGGATTTGTTGTTATTGCATGCCAAGTTAGCAAAAGAAAGCTTCTTTTCCTTTTTATTGGTATTATTATGATCCCGTAGTGGTTTTATTCTATTACCCTTCATCCAAGGCCTTCACCACTGTTAAGTTGAGAATTTCATCTTGTTCCTTCATACCTTGTTGCTTTTGGGGTTGCTCAAAAATTTCATGTGAAATATATATGAAATACTTGTTGTAACTACAGCGAGTAGTAAATTACATTCATTTAATAACTGTGAAGAAAAACTTGTATTGGTATGTCCTTAAATAACTGAATGACAGACTGCCATTATTTTCCGGGTCATCCTTTCATTTCAAAGATATTTTTCATTGGTTTTACTCTTAGTTTTGGACATGTTCTATAATAATGACACTTGCTTTTATTTAAAACTTAAAGAGTTGGGGGGGAGAGAGAGCATATAATAACAGAGAAAAGCATGCAATAACTGGGAACTACATATAATCTATTCTATACAGTTCATTTCATATTAGGGGGAATTCCATCAGTGTCATAATTGCCTCACCAATACCTTTGCAATTCTAGTGAATCCATATTTTTCATCATAGCTTTCTGTTAAAGTTCCATGCCTGGCGTATTTTCCTTGAGCTGCTGATTTACTTTTAGAACCTTGAGTTCCACTGGGGGACCCTCGCCCCTGTTACTCGGAGTGGCCATGCGGGGAGCAATGTGTTAAAGCTGCAATAAATACATTTAAAAAAGTAATTATTCTATATACAATAGCTTGCAGCTGTTGCTTGTTGAAGTACAGTATGATGTTTTATGAATGTTGCTGCAGAAATCTCCTTCTCTCTGCATGGGAGTTGCACTCTCTCAGAGTGAGTCTATGGGTAAACCTGCAGAACTGCTTTGCACTCGTTTTTGTCTTTAATGATGAATGTATGCAATCAATTTTGGTATCTAGTTAGTACCAAATTATTTCCATTATAACTTGTAATACTGTAGGGAGAAGTTGAGATGTTTATTTCTGAAGCACCATCTTAAAAGTTTTCTCTCTAAAAAGTTTGTGTATTTTTTTTTCTGGATCATTGATTTAAAAAGGAGATTTTAGCCTAGATACAGTAGTTATGTATTCTTGAAGAACTGCTCCTGTTAGGTTTCTAGAAAGTACCTTTTAATGATAAAGCTATTCAAATCAGTAGGTCAAGCTGAATCATTGTGTTAAACTACAACGCCTTTGTAGTTACTTCAAAGTTAATGTGATACAAAGTAATTCTAGTACTTCAGAGCTACAATACTTACATCTCGTACCTATTTTTATAGTCATGTATGAAATATATTTCTTTCTGTAAAAATAAATGAATTTTGAACTGTAAATTTTCTGTTATTAAAAAATAAAATTGTACCAGATAGTTAATCTGTCTTCTTTCTTTGTGTTTTTTCTTTTTTCTGATGCTCGTATATTATGGATTGTGTTGTGGAGAATGCAGGTAGATTTTCATGCCACAATTGGAGTGTGAATGTGCTTCCTGCTTATTTTATTTTGGCCATAGCAAAAACAGTACGTTCAGAAAGTGAAGTCCTTACATATCTTCTGACAATGTGTCTATGTTGCATGAGACATTTTTATGTTATGATGTTGCACCTTTTATACCATTTCTAATTAAGTGAACCCCAATGAAGAAAAGTCCATGACCATATTTTATCTGTAGATCTCTAACATCAACAATGCTGTGGAGTCAGATGTGTCTGTTGTTCATCATTGTAAATGGATAGCTCATTATCAAATGATTCCTCAACATTAAGGTACATTCTAGCCTCAACCACTTTTTGTATGATACATGATTCATGCACAAGCAATATTTACAGTATAACTTTTGCATTGGCTCATTGATTATTAACAGTAAGTATTTGTTTTCTTTATTTTAACTTAATGTACAGTATATTGTTTTTACGCACTATGTAACACTTATAGTGGTTTTGGTGATGTTTTCTTAGTTTCTTAGTTTTTTAATTCTTCCAATTGGGTAGTGCTGTTGTAGAAGTTTGGTAGAACTAACCCTTTTGTGTATCAACTCAAATAACTAATAGTTTTTGGGTGTCTGAAAAGGTTAGACATTATTCTGACGACACCTTAAAATTACCCCTGTTTTATTGTTCCAACCTTCTCCCTCCCTTGTCACTGGGACCCTAAATGCCTTGCTTTTTGCATTGGTGCATTCATCGGGAATTTCGCCCCTTGTGCAAGTTGGTGTCATTACTTTCTGAACCTTCGGCCAATATTTTGTTGTCATCACGAAGTCTTCCTTGTCCGAAAACAACAAAATGACATTTTATTTTGCACTTGTCTGCGTGCGCTTAAACGCAGTGGCCGCCGGACCCAAGACCTCCATTAGACCAGCTAGTCTCCTCTTTCCTGTTCGCTCGTGTCACTTTCCAGACTACTTGACGATGACGAGTACCACGCACCAAGCCCTTTGCTCCTGTTCCAGACGCGGTTGGTGGTGGTGGCGGCGGCGGCGGCGGCGAGGCCACCACGGCCGCCAAGGCCGGCGGGCTGTCGGAGGGCAGCGCCGTGCTGAGCCACCAGCTCACGCCCGAGACCATCATGAACCTCCCCGTGCTGTTCGAGACGGACTGCGACACCCTGGTGACGGGCGAGCAGGCTGTGCAGGCCGTGCGCGCGGTGCGGACGGCGACGGCGAGGCTGGCGGCCACGGCCACGGCCGCGGACACGACCGCGGCCCTCTCGACGACCACCTCGACGGTGGCGTCCCCGGTCAAGCTGGTGCTGAGCCGGGTCGTGCCGCAGCAGCCGCGCGGCGCGGACGGCCAGCAGCAGATGGAGCTGCTGCTGGCGAGCACCTCGGCGGTGCGCGTCCTGAGCCCGCCGACGGCGACCGTGCTGGCGCCCTCCGGGGGCCTGGCCGTCACCACCACGACCGCGGCCGGCGGCGCCCCGAGCGGCGCCCAGCCGCAGCCGCAGCAGCCGCTCAAGATGCTGGGCATCCTCAAGCGGCCCGTGGCCGTGCCCGTGGCCGCGCTGGCCCGCGCGCCCGGCGCCACGGTGCGCGTGCGGGCGCCCATCCGGCCGGCGCCCTCGCAGGTGGCCCGCTACGAGGCGCGCCACGCCCCCGGCGCCAGGCCCGTGGGTCGGCCGCCCAACGCGCTGCGGGCCGCGCAGGCCGCGGCCGCCGCCCGGCCCATCGCGCGCGCCGTCCTGGCCGCCGCCGCCAGCGCCCCGCAGCAGCCGCGGCCCGTGGGCCGGCCCCCCAAGACGGCGGCGACCTCGGCGGCCGCTCACCTGCCCACGGGCAAGGCCACCCTGGTCAAGACCATCCACGGCCGGGCCTTCCCGCACGGCGCCAAGGTGCGGCCGCCCCTGCCCGCGGCCTCGGAGCCCGCCAACGGCCACGCCGCCCCCGCCGCCGTCCAGGTCACCACCAGCCTGGTGCGCCACCCCGCGCTCGACCCCCCCTTCCAGCCGCGCGCCCCCGGTGCGCCCCAGGCGGCGCAGGGCCCCCGCTTCTTCATCGCGCCGAAGAACCGGGGACGTGGGCGGCCTCCCAAGAACGACACTGCCTCCTAGACGGATGTTTGTTTCTGTGATACCATAGTTCTCTTGTGGATCGATTTTTATATTGGTTCCGAGTCTTGCGTTTTGCAAGGCGTGGCTTGGCACAAAGTTTTGCCTGCGTGAATTTCTCGATGGGGAATTCTTTTAGTAGAATCGTGCATCAGAGACATTTGTTCCTGTATCTGTTTCCCGGGTGTTTCTTTTAGTGTTGCGGTATTGCATACGGGGCCCATCACCCCTTACGGCCCAGGGGAGTAAGCAAACTCTTCACACTGGAGCGGGTTCAAAGAAATACCCTATGGTTGAGATGAAACCAGGTGGCTGACTGACTCACGCCGCGCACTTTCGTAGTTGTACTGTCTCGCATGCACGCGTGCGGGCGGGTTGCCTGCTCGCACGGGGCCGTATGGAGCCGCAGGCAGCGAGGATAGCCAAACCCGCCCGTACCCGTGCATGCGGTACACTTTAACTGCGAAAGTGCGCAGCGTGAGTCCAGCCACCTGATAGACAGATGTTTCCTGCTGAAACACAGAGTCATGTAAATTGTCATAGCAAAATGTTCATTGATCTCATTATCATCAAAGAACCCTAGACAATACCTGATTGTTTTAAAGTTGAGTCGTCTTCAGCATATTTCCTGTGTGTCAGGGCTAGGACACAGAGGAGCCGTGGCGCCCTACGATTGGCGCGAGTATGCAAACCCGCATAATACTGTTGTATCGTAGCCCTGACCTACGGTACTTAGTTCAATTTAAACACATTAACTGGAGTCCTATGCTTTCTTTTCTCTATCGATTTTGTTTTCAAGCTCCTCTTTTGTTTAAGCTTACCCATGCAAAACTTCCTGTTTTCGATCTTTGCTTAATCTGTCATAATAAGTTCTCTTTTATGTTTAAGAAAATAATTTAATGATATTATTTACTTTACAGCGTGTGTTGACCGCATGTGTTCCTCAATTGTGATACATTGCCAAAGCATCAGGTTTTATTTAATGTATTTTTTCTTACAGTCTATGTTCTATCCTTCTAAATGGCACACTCTTCTTTTATAGTAAAAACTGAGTGCCTTTATTTTATTTTATATCCTAGTGCTATTTCTCAAAGGCTGAGCCTCGGGTAAAAGCACGTTATGTTTTCGTCTTTTTATCTTGTTGTATTCCTGCATATTAACATAAGTTTCTATACGCTTCAGTTGCCCTCGTCAATATGCACGGAAAAATAAAAAGTAAAAAAAAAAGGACCTTTGTATCTTTTTTTAATTTCTTTTCCTTTCCCATAGCATTATCCTCTCAAAAACATCCGATATCGAAAGCCGAGTTTATTCTCCTCTTGTCGATGAAACGGGGCGCGAACAAGCAACGCACTCCGCGAGCGAGTACCCCTCTCATAGCGACCGGTGCACATGTCCGCGCGGGTTCGCGTCACACTGTCGCGGGAGTGGGGGCGAGCCGTGTCGGTTCGCGTGCCCGCGGATGTTGTGGTCGCGAGTACGCGCGCACCGGAGAGGACCCCGCGACGCCGACCGCCGCCGCTGCGTCCCATGACGCCCGCGGGCGTCTTCGTCTTGTGGTCGCGGTAAGCGCGCACCCGCCGCCAGCCCCTTTGGGGACACGCTGATCGATCGCGGTGCGCGTCGAGTGTGCTCTTTACTCGCGAGGACGAGGACTCTCGCACTCGCGCACCCGCGAGTCACCGCGACACCGACTGCTGCCACCGAGGGGTACCTGCTCACTCCTCTAGTACTCTGTGAAAAAAGGAGGCAGGCCTACAGAAAAATTTTCCTTGACGCAAGTTGTAAAATCACAATTTGTAATCGTAAAACTACATGCAGTATGTATCGACTTCAAATCCCTTGGCGAGTAAAAAATGTGCTGTCGTAAATTTACAACTTAAATTATAATTCGAGTTTACAAAATTTTTGTAAATTTACGACGATGTTTTTCAGTGTAGGTTTACACTGACTAAAGTCAAGTGATTGGAGATTGATTGGAAATTTATTGGACTGATTGGAATTTGAATAGAAACTGACTAGAATATGTCTGTGGGAGAAAACGGAAAGAAATTCCTAAAATTCAATTTTGTGGGGTATGTGGGCTGCAAACTAAAGACATTGTATCAAAAGAAGGGTGTTGTGTAGACTGAAAATGGTGAAAACAACATCCATGTTTTCCGGAAGTTTTCCGGAAAATTAAAATCTCCATGTGGTCGCGGGTAAGCGCGCACTCGCGAGCCCCTGGGGACACGCTGATCGCGGTTCGCGCATACCCGCGAGGACTCGCGCACTCGCCGGTCTCGATCGGGCTGCTTGTGTTGCCCAACAACATCATGACGCGCCCCGCGACTCTTCCACTGCGCCGGCTGATTCCTCTCTTTGACCCGCATCCCGTTTTTTGCCGAACTTCTCTGCATCCCGTTTGCCACCGTTAATGGTTCCCGTGTACAGTGCCTCAGATAGGCACCGCGATCGCGCCTGCTGTTGGGGGACTTTACTCGCGCTCCACTAAAAGCAAGACGGTGGCCGGTCGTCGTGTTAACGAGCCCCACGCGATGACCTGTCCCTTGCCGATCGTGACCCGATCAACTAATGCGATGCACGTGACTCTCAACGTGCGAGGCAGGATAGTGTGTGTGTGTGGGGGGGGGGGGGCAGGGGGGGGGTCAAGGGTTTTCAATCGGAAACGTAAATGTCGTGCCCAAACTACGCCGTATTGGGCATTGGGTTGGGCTGTTGTAAGGGGGCGGTCGCCCCCCCCCCTGCCCCTCTCCTCTCTCCCGGCAGCCTCGGGTAGCAACGCCAGAAAGTAGGCAACATATGCGTCAGTACGTAGGCAATGCCCCCCCCCCTCAAATCTGAAAACGGCGAAAAACGGAAATAAACGGTATACCCCCCGGATGACGTTGTTGTACTTCCTGACCCCGACCCAGCCCACCGTTGACCCGGGGCACGGGGTGCCCGCCGTCTGGTTCCTTTATAGCGCTATCGGACTGTTCCGTCCGCGTGCAGGAGACCCGGGCCCCGCGCCCCGCGGGCCCGCCCGGACCGCTTTGGCTTGGTCCGTCGGCTCGACCGGCTGGACCCACACCAGAGGAGGGAAGTTCTCGCCAACACATAATGGAGAGACCAGGATTTCTCATTGATGCAAAACCTGCGAGAAAAAATTCAGTCCATAGTTTCAGTCGGACGTCGGACACCCGGGAAAGCCCTTTCTTGGCATAAACACATTCTCTTAGTAGCATCCCAAATCTACCTTACAGAAAAATTACAAAAAAAAAAAAAAAAAAAAGGCGTTGCGATGAGTGAATTTCGCTTCATCCCACGGAAAATGCGGTTCCCACAAAGACCTCACAATGTGACCTCTTTATGACTTACGAGGTCACAAAAGTGAGGTGTCCGTGAGAAAAACGTTTTCCTTGGGATGCGCATGTCTTGCGCCGTTTGTTTTGGTGCATATGAAACGGAGTCATAATATAGAGTTCTTATCAATCTGTAATCACTTATCTGCTTTATTCTGCATGTTTTTTTGCGTCTCGTAAGCATGCGTCTTTGTGTTTGTGTGCGTAAGCGCGGGTGGCCATGCCTCAATCGAGATCGCGTCGTAGATGTATGTGTTTGCAAAGGGGGAGGAGGGGAGGAGGGGGTTTAACCATGACCTCTGGAAGATTAGTTAAGACTAAGACCTGGTCCCTTGTCCGCCAATGCTGTCGGTGACGATTAAGAAACCCCCCCTCCCTCACCCCCCACCCGCTTCCCCCTCGCACCCCGCAACAGCTGCACGCCGCAGAAAGCCAATGTGTCACTCACTAAGCCGTACGCAACTACTATGGCATCGTAGAACGCACGCCGCTCCCTCTCCCCCCCTCTTCCCCCCTCTTCCTCTGGAATGACGCTGGAGGGAATGACTCGCCCCGTCGCGATGCTAGCGTCCGCGGAGTCACCTGCTCCAAGGCCGTATCGAGTGCGTGGGGCAGTGGAACACTAGCAGCGGAGATCTTATTCAGTTCACTTAGGAAGGGAAAGACTAATCATCTCGTTTCCTAAAAAAAAGATAATTTTACAATATTTTTTTTTAAAGTTACACACTCTTGAAATTTTTTTTACATTTTCTTTGGCAGCATATTTCATTAAAGATGTAAATTTTCCGAAAAGTTCAAGTTTTTCGGATAAACTGCCAAACAGGTAACTTTTTCCTGTTTTTTCCAGCCTTCAAATCTCTAAATTTCATCACATTTTATTTCTATTCGTTTTTCAGTCGCCAACTCATTAGGGATTCTGCAGAGGGCTTTACTTGCGGTAAAATCTGCAACAGTTTTTGTTAAAGCAAACGCATCGCTTAATAGCATCCGAGGTAAGCGCAAATAAATTGGCCGTCTGGGGACATCAAGCAATAATGCCCTTGTTTGTTAGTTGTGATGCTATCTCTATCATCGGATTCGTTTATTACGCGACGGCAAGTTTAAGAAAAGGAGAGAGGAGGTGGGGGTGAGGGGAGGCTGTACCGCCGGGGACGGCCAGGCCAGCTGCCCGCCGAGACACGGCAAGGGGAAGGACCTGCTGCTG